TGTGAATTAATACTCTAACAGCTTTTCCCAGTCTCGTGGGACACTTTATGCAGTTCATATTAGAAATATTTAAATAAATGAAGACTCAGCCCATGGGCAAACCTCTTAAGCACCTGAAAAAGAGCTTCACTTGCTGTTGGAGAGCTGCACTTCTGCCAGTAAAGTATCTCGTCTACCAGGCTGACAAAGTAAAGCTCCTCAAAGCTGCTGGGCTGTTAAATTGCAGCCTGTTTTGAAATCCGAATAAACTCAAAGTTAGGAAACCTTATTTCAGTCAAGCATTTAATAGTACCAATATTCTGTTTTATTGTTGTAAGGCCTCGTTGATCACCTGTATGTTCTTTGCATCAGTGTAAGGAAGAAAACAAGCTAAATGATGTGTGGGTAGCTCCACTAACAATGTTCTGCCATTGTATTTACTGTTAACGCCATCGGCGCGACCCAATAAATACTTTCTTTCAGCTTTTAAGATGTGTAAGCTCCAAGAGCTCCAAGTATCAGTGTTCCATGCTTGTACCCGCTGGAAAGGCCCCGTGCAACAGGTCAACCGGATTCTTGTGTGAAGAGCACTAGTAATATTTGCAGATTTCTGATCTTTTGATAGTATCAAAAGGGTGAAGATGTCTTCCAGGCTGTCTTAACTCAGCAAGGACGCCTAAAGTGACCGTCCTTGAACTTTGTGGGAAATTGCACTGTCAACATCAATACGTTTGACCTTAAAAGGTAGAAAGCTACAGGTTTGCTGCACAGATCGTGATTTCCTGTAATGCACTGGATTTGAGGGTGTGGGGAGGCATTTGTCTTAAGGCGAACCAGAACATGTCATCATTGACCGTAATGTAGATATTGTGAGATATGGAGCTAGGATCCTGTAACTCTGTGCTCCAGGGCGGCAACTTTCTCCTTTAGAGTCACGGCTGTTTTTGGAATGGGAATGATTTCAATGGTCTGTTTGTCCTTGTTTTGTTTTCTCCTCTTATCGCAGTCAGTTGAGTGAGAGAGATTAAGTTTTGCTGGCTCTACCCACAGGTCTGGCTGTGTTGCTCATTACATGGATGCACACGTCTTATGAATCGTATCTCTGGGGTTCCTACTTAGTCTGGAAAACTATGGGGTATTTACAAGTTTATTTCCAGATCTGCCTCTTGCTTTATTTCTGTCAGGCTCCCCTCTGTGTTTTTTGGTCATTACATCCTTCCTCACCTGTTTTGTCTAATATTTGGTTTATATCAATTTATGTGTCAGCCTTTATTGCTTTTTTCCTGTCCTATTTCCTTAATTCTTCCCGTCTTTTTTCATCATCTCCCTTTTCTTCTTGTTTTGTTTTTAAATATTTTTCTTCTGTTTTTTTCATCCATAATTAAATCCCTCTTTAGAAGATAGCCATCTGAGACCCTATCCATGTAGAGATGTTTCGTCTTTCAAGCTATGTCTCTGTTGTTAGCTTTTTTGGAAAACATAAACAATTATTTTTTAAACCGGGTCCAAGAGTGGAAAACTCCTGGACCTGTTTTAAACAAATAAAAAAAACATGTACTGTACATGTTTTTTTTTTTTTTAAACATCGTAATAACTTAACCTACCACTGTCACCTGTATGCTCCTCTTTACAGCCATATTGCTGTTTATTCTGCGTATTTCCAGTGTTTTTTTTCTGCGGTATGGGTGTGACTCTGTGGCAGTGTCACAGCACCACCAAAGGGCCCGGCATATGTACTACAGCAGCGATCCCCAACCACCGTGCCGCGAACCGGTACCGGTCCGTCGGCCATTGGTGCTTTGCAGTCTTGTGTTGACTAGAGCTGCAGTAACGATCGTTTTTCAAATCAATTAATCTGCCTGTCTTTTTTTTTGATAAATCGATTAATAATCTGATAGCCAAAGGTTCCTTGAAGATTTTTTTGCAATATTAGATCAGATGAAGCTAAAACTTTTGCACTAGAGAAGCTCTGGATGGAGCATTTTTACAGATGAAAGACTCTTTTCTATTTTAAATGCTAATCTTTACATATTTCTTTTACAATTTTGGAATAATCGATGCTCAAGGTGGGTTGCTCTGTCAGCTAAAGGCATGTTTTAAAGTCTCTATACTCTGGTTAACGATTAATTGATTATTAAATTAGTTGATACTTATTTCAATAATCGATTAATTAGATTAATTGTTTCAGCCTTAGTGTTGACACAGAATTGTTATATGCAATTTATGAAGATATATATATATATATTATTCTTTCTATTTCACTGATGCCACTGGTTTCTTATTTTTATTTATTAATATTTTCTATTAGTTTTACTCAAGGTTGATATGATGTTGCTCTTTTCCAAGTAATTCTTGCTGGGATTCAACAAATGCCAAATGCATGGTGCTGACCATAAATTGTCCCTGCGCTGCAATTATTCACTTCAGAGTTCAGGTTTCCGATTTGTTATGTTGGTTAAGATAACGGATTATTTTGACATTTGTCCGTGTCAGAGCCATTCATGTCCACATTTTAAAGCATCGAAAAATAGACTTCATCTCACACCCATAAATGTCACCAATCATTCAAAGCATATAAAATACAATATCCATTGGTATTAAAGGGGAGAAACGATTGACTGAAATGTGATGTTGCCACTAATTGTAAAAGCAGCTGAAGAGCAGAACGGAAGCTCATTTGTCAAAGGAGAGACACAAAAGTCAAGAAAACAAAAATCTACATTTTTGCATTTAAATTAAATTGAACACATTTAAATATGTTTTCCTTATGCCTCTGATGCTCGCTGTAACATAAGAGCAGCCTTTTCCCTCATCATGACCCCCCACTCAGAATAACTTGTCTCTCCAATGTGTGTTCTTCATTCTACAGATGCTATGAAGGTCAGCCTGCTCTCCATCATTAGAACATGTAATCCTTTAAACATGAACTTAATTGCCTGTTGGTAGGACCCCTTCAGCTGTGTTTTTCTTCCCCCCTTTCTCTCATCATGTCTGGTAGCTCTGTGGCTTTAGTTGCAGAGTCGCATACCTGCACTCAAGTGGAACAAACAGGATGGTTGGCTGCTCACGGAAGGTCATCAGCCCTGGGCACCATGTGTGCACGAGTTTGTTTTTAAAAAGGACATGAAGGACTATAGTGTCTCTAATGGTGCATTCAGATGTGATGCAATAAGTTTTTCGTCCTTTTATAAACATTCTAATCACCAGTCTTTTTCAGTTTTGGACACAGTTAATGAATTGAATATACAGCTGTTTTATGCTCTTTCTGAAACACTCGACAAAGAAAGCAGAGTCTGGGGGGGTGTTGGTCTTTCTTTCTCTACAAATGTTTTGGCAAAGAAGCAAGAATCCAAACGAGTGAAGCTGTTTGGGACATCTGAGAGCTGGAAAAAGTTCATACTTTTGTTTATGGGCTATAGTTCAATGGGTAATGCTTTCAAAGGGGACTCCTTGCCTTTGATTCCAAGTAATTTGCTATTGCTCTGTAAGCTACAACAAAAAGCTTGTTTTTCTGCCACTTGCTGGCAATAAATTTAAGAAAAGAAATCCTTTCTTTCCCCTTTTGAGGCCAATTCACCCTTGCGATCAAGCATCAAGTCCTGCCTGGATCCCAAACACTTGCTGCCCCTGTAAAAGAGTTACAGTGATGGCCACTGTGCTAATGATCGGTGACACCTAATCTTTGTCATCCGTAATTGGTGCTGCAGGTTTGATTAAGAGCCGAGCCTTGTCAGTTCCCTCGGAATGTGGGAAGCATGTTTATTACCGGACGCAGTGGGTTTCAGGGTTTGGAAGCATGCTTTTAATGTGTGCATTCAGCTGCATATGTTTGCTATGCTAATATTACACACACCTGCCTGGTGCTGAACAGAAAGAGTCCTGGTTGATCTAGGGCTTTGTGAAGTGTGGCTGCATTTTTGCTCTTCATTAACCTTGATTGGCCTCAATCCCTGAAATTTCATCTTGTTTATTTTTCTGCCATCCGTCCCTGATCTTCTTACTTTCAGTATTTTTATTTCTTGCAGCATTTTTGGTTTGAAATCAGACAATTGAGAGCTGTTGTTTCAGGGTTAAGCAATTTTTTCTTGCATATCATGTTGAACTTCTCGCTGTATAAACATCAATTAGCATGCAGATGAGGCAGCAAATTAAGTAATATTTTATTTGGGTATGTCTTTGTAGTCAAGCTAGAAACTGTTAAAAAAATACAGTTTATCAAATTAGTGTGAATATGGTATGAATTTAAATTACCTACTAGAACCAAACTGTTTAATGTCAAGGAAGCTGACATTTCAAAGTAAACAATTCCTAAATAGCCAGCAGAAATAAACAGCAATAAGCTATTTTGCAGCCTCACCAAAAGTTTTGAGTGCAAAGCTCAGCTGCACTTTGATACTATTGAGCTTCCTGCTTTGGTGCACCTCGTCTTCCACAAAGATTCCTCCACGGGGAGTTTATTAGTTTCCTTTCATCCTTACCATCCTGTGCTTGAATACGTGCTTAACACTATTACTCTATTGAAGTTATACACAAACATGCAACATTCTGTGTTAATAACCACCCACTCGGTGCACTGCATCCTTTGCACTCTACGCTAACACTCACGCACACACCTACTGATGTCCGCACAGTTTGATATGTGGCCCAAGGCAAGGCTCTTCTCCCTAATGAGCCGCCTGCCCTCTGTTTTTCCTAGGGAGGTGAGGGAGAACTAACCTTGATGCAGCATAGAAAGGATCCAACCTGCTTACACACACACAAACTTGAACTGCTGTGCTTGTGAAAGAAACTCTGGCCGTATCTTTATACGTGGCTTGTGACATTATCACCAACCCTCAGAGTTGATGATGCTAAAGTTAATATCATGGTTCCACTTAATAAGGTTTGCCTTAATGAGAAACTAAACAAATATCTTTATTATTGAAAGCTTTCAGGAAACCCTTAGTTTCACAAAACAGTTACTGAAAGTAAAATGCTTTGAAAAAACTGACCTGTGATTTTCTTCCTTCTGTGTGTTATAGATCTGGGCTAACTATGAGGAAAAGCCTGTGGAGGAGGTCGTGCATCTGTCTGAGGAGAAGGAACGTGTGGCCAACTACAGACCAGTATTTGTGACTGAAATCGCAGACACCCTGCACTTCTATGCCCAGGATGTAGAGACAGGTACAGTGACTGACATTTACACTACACTTTAAATCTATCCAGACCCCTTAAACCGTTTATATATATTTTCTTCCCCAAAACCATAAACTTAAATGTCTGCTATCTAGACCAGTGTTTTTCATTCCTGGTCCTCAAGGCACCCTGCTCTGCATGTTTTGGATGTTTCTGAGGTTCAGCAAACCTGATTCAGATGATTGCAGTTCAGCAAAGCCTGATAATCTGCTATCAATTGATAACAGGTGTGTGGAAGCTGGGAAACATCTAAAACATGCAGGGCAGTGTGCCTTGAGGACCAGGGTTGAAAAACACTGATCTAGACTTTATTAATACAACATAAAGTGCTTAATTGTGAAGGAAAAAAAGAAAACTGCCCCAGCCAGGTCCTTCATAAAAAAATTTTGATCAATTCAATATAATCTATCTGTTAACGTTACCTATTAAGTCTAATATCAAATTATCAGTTGGACCCAGTCTAACATGAATATGCTTTAAACTGAGCTTGGTGCTCTGGCTGTATGTTAAGGATCAACATTGTCTGAATGTGAATCTCCTGCCCTAACTGAAATGTTTCTCCGCCTCTTTGCTTAAAAGTTTTTCCTCTCTTTAACTTCATGCATCTTCTCATTAACTCTGAAAGTGCCGCTACACAAATGTGAAGACGAGGGATGTTTAACTTTCTTCTTCTTTTACCTTCACACTGATTTTTAAGAACAAGATTTAATTCTATAAATAAGACTTTCCTGGTTTATCTAACATTTATCCCCAGTAGAAGCCTAACTAGGGAACCTTCAACCTCATCCTAATAATAAATGCTTCTAGTAATGAAGAGTGATTGATACCTCCAAGCTCCAATAATTGGGATCTGAGCTGATTCTGAGCTTTTAAACTGAGGTGTTTGTCTCGGTGAGAAGTTGAAAACCTGCTTACTTGGTTTTCTACCTTGAAATGTAAGCCTTTCTTCTCATTGTGACTAATATTTTTTTACAAAAAGAGGATGGGGTTCTGATTTTTATCGCTGTTATGTCAGAAAAAATTTGCATCTCAACGAGTACACTGCCCGTTGTTTTGAGTTCTTTTAAGTGACGAATAGTAAATCATTATTTGTGTTTTCAGGCATTTGAGAAAGAAAACTACCAGAGAAGTAAACAGTTTTTCTTCCACCTAGCTGCAGATTTGTTGTGCATGTGCTCCTACTGCTCTCACTGCGTGAAACTTTGATCAGGAGTATCTAAAGGCAGGCCATGCTTATGTTTTGATTTTTTTTTTGTTTTTTTTGTGGGTATTCCAGGAGCCATAAAATAACAGCATAATTATCCTTGCAGGCAATGCCAGAAGAGTTTAGTGAGTTTGCTGTAGAAAAAAAGGCTAATTAGCTTTCTTTGATTCAAAATGGGGGGAACATAAATGTGGATTTTATGCCTTCTAAGTTAGTTTGTAGTTTTATATGAAGCAGATTCAATAAGAACTTCTTTCAGCAGATTATTTACAGGATGGAACAGATTTTCTTCATGGAAATGATTGTCTCCATCATCTGTCAGGTCAGAGGAGCTGCCCAGAATTCAGAGGCCTTCCTCCCCCTGCCGCCCCCTCATCTGTCCCCATTAGCCGTGGACTTTCAGAGGCCATGAAATTGACTTTGGCTTTCTATTTTCTTTGCCTCACCAACATAATTAACCCATTTATCTCCAATTAGCATCATTTTAACCTAAAGCATATCTCTTTCCAGATATAATTCAATCATATAAAATCATATATGGTTTTAGCTTTGAGTTTTCTGCATGTTTTAATTCCCATACCTTGAAATTTTCAACTGCACTGAAGTCTGTAGATATAGACTATTTTTCTTATTTTGCCATGAGCTATAGATTCAAATCAAAAGCTTACGATTGCCTCTGGCTACAGCAGCACAGCTTCAGTCATTCAGGAATAAAGTTTGGATTTTGTCTAGGCTTTAGTGGTTTATTAGATTTAGGTGTTAGGGTGAAACATTACAAGACTGAACCTGAAGGTCTAGCTTAAGAATTAATGCTTAATATTTCCCCTTTTTTGTTCATCTGTGAGACAATGAGGAAGAGCACGATACAGACTGAGTACAACTTCTTTTCCACCAAGTGTTTCATGTAAAATTGTACCCAAACAGCATTTTTTTATATTGCTGCTCTCAGTGTATTTTGACAGGAGAGCTGTGAGTTATTCAATCTTTTCTCATAAAAAGCCTTTATTTTAGATGATCCAGCACCGCTGGCGCCTTTTTATATATTTATTTTTTCATTTAATTGGCTTGTGTTCTTCCAACAAGCAGCTTATGTGTTTTTTTTGTGAGAGTAAAAAAATGTTGTTCTCAGCAGGGGAGTAAAACCTGACCGGTCCTCAGCCCCTCTGCTTCCCTCCCTTGTTTGCTCCCTCCTCCACCTCCTCTCCTGCCTCGGTTTCCTTCATTTCTTGTAGGTGCACATTCAGAGCCACATTAAGTCATCTGGGCTTCTTGAGTTGAACATCAAAGTGTTAGAGGCTGTAAAATCCCACAAGCTGAGTGCTTTAAAAGATCATTACATGCCCCAATCCTCACCCAACAACGTTTCTTAGCGAATACGTTTTCACACACAGATCCACTGTGAAGCAGAGTACCGGTACTTTCGTGATCACAGCTGATGACGGTTTGCTATCTTATGAGAATATACATGAGTGGTTTCCACATTTGTTTCCTAGTTAATGATCTAAAGCGTTTATTATAGCTGGCTTCATTTCAGTCTGTTATTGGAATCCCCAACCATGTGTAAAATATTTTGGTCATGACAATTAACCTGCGGACTGTCATTTCCACAAAGGAAGATATCATTAAGCCTTAATATAAGGTACATTTTGAGGCATCATAATATGTTTTAGAGCGACTTTAGTGCTTGAAGTTGACCTGAGCAACTCAAAGGAGTAGCTTGAGCGGCTAATTGAGAGTTGGCATTCCAAAGTTAATTAATTAATACAATGCTTTTATATTGACTTTAAGTCTTTGAAAATTTCAACTGTTCTTTACTCAGTTTTTTGGGATAAAGACGATGAAAGAAAGCAAAGCAACACTAAAAATAAGAAAGATCTAGCCATACCTAAGCCAACATGCTACCCAGCTCCTGGTGCAGTCTGTGGTTATGTCCCACCTTCACTATTGTTACGCACTCCTGACTGGTCTCCCAGTCGATACGATAAAGCGTAAAAATGATCCAGAACACGGCGGCGCGTCTGATCTCTGATCTCCTGTCATAGCTCTGTTCATTGAGCTTCACTTGTTACCCCTGGCTGCCCACATCAAATTCAAATCCATGATGCTAGCCTACAAATTGCTTAAGGGTACGGCTCCCATCTAATTGAACCCTCTAGCAAAGGCTTATGTCACAACTCTGGTCAGCAATGGATTGTCTTTTAGCAGCGCCTGAACCACGCTTAAAGGCTGATTTATACTCAGAAACCAAGTTGTCTGCGTGTGTGTCTCAGTGAATGCAAATGTGCCTCCGCTACCTCTCCCAAATTGTAGGTGACCACAGACAATGCCGCAGAGAGGGGGCATTAGATTGGTCAAATCTACATCCGCTCTACTCTATGCGTTTTTCCTGTTTAGTGCCTTACCAGCTTGTTTCATTTGTATGACCGCCATTGTGGAAAACAACCAGCTAGAAGTGCGAGATGCGCAAGAACGTTGGGACCCTCTTTCCACCTGGATCCCTGCTCTTTTTTGCCCTTTGTTGTCGCACGAACTTGCCCCCACCCACTAAACGTCATGGCCATATCTAGACCCACAGCTAGTTTGTGATTATCCTTCTTGTGTTGTGGCATGGAATAACATAGCGCAGACCATGCTTCAAAATTGGGCATAAATCAAAACTGTTTGCGAACAAACCTCACTGTGACACACTGCTGCGAGGAGGATAACCAGCCCTTAAGACAATCCAAACTGTTTTCACGTGGTGTTCCAAGATGGTGGTAAATGGTAAATGGCCTGTAATTATATAGTGCTTTTTCAAGTCAGGAGACTTGACCAAAGTGCTTTACACTACATTCAGTCATTCACCCATTCACTGTAGCCACAGCGGATCACTGACAGAAGCGAGGCTGCCATACAATGGTGCCACAGGGCCCTCTGACCACCATCAGTAGACAATGCAGGTGAAGTGTCTTGCCCAAGGACACAACGACACTGAAAGCCGGTGCCGGGGCTTGAACCGTCCTTCCATTTCAGGGCAAATTCCTACACCTGACGCCACTGTCGCCCCGAGTGGAATTACCTTCCAAGTGCTAAAAGAACAGGCGCAACCCTGTCTATCTTCAGGGTTCTCCTAAAGACCGACCTCTTCAAAGAGCATCTCCTATCCTAACTCTTACACAGAGCTCTGTACCCCTTCACTACTATTTCTGTACTTCCTCCATCTCTTTGCTGTCACCACTGATTTTGACTTTGGATTTTCCTCTTATTGTCATATTGATATTGACGTCATATTGATAACTGTAGCAGTGTTCTACTTTGTAAGTAGCTTTGGATTAAAGTGTCTGCTATGCATGAACATAAACAAAGCAATACTGTCAAAGCTTTGTGTCAGATGTACAGATGACAGGTGTTTGTCCACTTTCCCACTTTTAAAAGCCTTTATAGTGAATATAAAACCACTGATGAAGGTGAGTGTTTTTAAAAAAAAAAAAAAAACTAGTCAGAGTATCTTTTTTATTTCTCTCTTATGCAATAGTTGTTTAGTGTTTTATTTCGAAAACACTGACAATAAACAATCAGAGTTAATGACCACTTTAAAGGGCAGAAAGGATCATACAGGAATTAAACAGCTGCATTGAAAAGTGCTGCATTTGGTCCTTAGATGGAAAACAAACATCTTGCAGGAATAGAAAAGCAATAAGATGTTCCCCTTGTGAGAACTGATCAGAAGACCTGGTGATGGTAAACAAACTGTCAAATTTCACTCTGATGTATAACTGAAAAATACAGCTGTTGCTCTACAGTG